AACACCCTACACTTTAGATACTCTGCTCTCTTGCATTTTACAAGTACGCTCTCCATGGTTCCAAAGATAAAAGCAGTACAGTTTTAGATATCAGATACAAATAAAATAATTCATGAGAAACAATGTACTTCCTTTTCTTGTTACTCTGGATTAACAAATTATAGGGTTGTACCTTCTACTCAAAAAAATGTGAAGAAGGAGGGGGAAAAATCTCAGAAACAAGTAACATCTGTCTCAACAAGAAAACATCTATCTTAAGAATTCAGCCCTCTAAGTATATCTTAAACGTAGTATATTCCTTTGACTTACTTGCACACAGTAGGATTACAGAGAATTCATTAAATATTCAGAGGTTTTACCTTTTTTTAGAAAAAAATACATCTATTTCCAAATTCTGACTGAAACTTTAAATTCAACAGGCAGCACCAACATATTTGGTATCAAAACAAAAAGTCAATATTGTTAAAGTATGACCTTATGAAGGGTCACATACCTAGCTGTCTTAATTATTTATWGAATGCTCAAAGTACTGTTTTAGCAGAAGGACATATAAACCAAGATCTGATGCTTGAAAGATTTTTTATAACCYACCATTTTAAAATCATAGAATTTTAGTTTGATGTTGAAGTCTGATTAAACAGTGCAACATTATGAGGATAATGCCATACTATGTCCACTTTAATGATCCTAAAAATTGCAATTAGCTGCCAATTGAAGAAGTTGCAGAAGCTGGCAACTTCTAAAAAGAAATACATATATACCATATATACGTGTAGCTTTTCAGGAAAGTCATTGCACAGGCAATACCTAACTCCGTAAGGTACACAATGTACACCCTTCCATCAGCAAGAGAACAGCAGTGATCACACCTGCACCAATTGCAGGCGGCAGCTTTCCTTACGGCAAGGCCTCGCTCCTGACMAGGCTGAGCTGCCACCATCCAGACCTCAAGGGAATCACTGCTCAAGGTTCAGATGCTCTGTCTAAGGCAGTCACACACAGTAAACTAAATGTAATGTTACATCATTTCCAGCATATAGGAACAAGACAGCAGAATAGTTTGCTAGAAAGTCACACATTGACCAAATCAGCACCAGGGAACTTTACAAGACTCTAAGGCACTTCCCAGAACTGAGAAGAAAAGAACAAACAGAGCAGGGTGGGGTAAATTCTTCCCTATGGAAAGAAACTAATATATCTCAAAAGAATAAAATCTATTAAACCAGATAGGTCTAGTTGTTTGAAGAAGTATACTGCAGCAACATAACAATGAAAAGCAGACTACTTTTGTTCACATACTGCTAAGTCCCAAGATAGGAGACTTCAATCTCTTTCCAATTTTTCTTAGCATTTCTTAGCGATAGTATTTCTTACTACTTTGAAGTCTCCAAAAGGCTTTAACTTCTACTAAAAAACCTTATACCTGCGGCATACATAAATTTGTCATATATTATATTTAGTTTAGAAAATAATTTAATCAGTTCTGAATTAGTCACCTGAATTTCAGAAAATTTGCTCTGGATCCCAAATTACAAAAAAGGCTGAATGGAGTCAAACTGAAGCAAACCAGAAAACCAGAGAGAGAATACTAGACTGAAGTGGCAAAGAACACTTATCTACTAAAAAGTTTCAGAAAAAGYGAAACCAGAAAAACAAAAAACCCAAACCACAAGAAATGCATTTGCCCCCAGTATGCCTGTAACTGATCACTAGCCTAGCACTGAAGTTTCCCAAGACGAAAATCGTTTAGGGTAACTCATAGCTTCAAAATTGGTAAGCCTTAATATATGTTATTTCCTAGTCTTTTTCATATATGTTTACATATGTTTTACCCTCTGTCCCTAMATAAAGGAATTTTAAAGCTTTCAGTGTCTTTTCACATTAAAGTTTTACTCTCATTTGAGTCATTGCCATACCTAAATCTTCTATACACTGACTGTAGCAACAGTGACTCCTAAAGCTRCAATGATATTTGGTATAATGGTACATCACCGCTTTACAATAGACACAAAACTTTCTGTATATTCTTAAGCAGACTAATTTGCATTTTTTACTAAATTTAAACTGAGTTGTCACCAATGATAGGATACTTTTTCCAAAAAGTATACAACTCACTGCTATCTTGTAAAAGACATTTAAGAAATGCCATCTAATGCAGATTACTTTAAATTTTTTAAAAACAAAAATCACAGGCCTTTGTGCTATCCATCCACATAGCTTCATATTGTTCAGTCTCTTTTGACTGATATTGTTCAGTCTCTTCTGACCCTTACTAAAAMTGGCATTATACTAATTTAATATCTTTAGACAATCCCTGACTTACACCATTGTCTTGCAGGATGCAACCCTCCATCTTTTACCATAATTAAATTTTTTAGATTTCTCTTTYGTTAATAGACAGCTAGCAGGCTATAACTCACAAGCGCTCACCTCTATTCATGATTCTTCCATTATTCTGGCTTACTGGAGCTCTGGATGCCTTGATGAAATAGTGGGAAAATTAACCAATACYCTCTTTCCTCCCCTCAAGTCTTAACCATGATTCCAAGGTGAGATATGTTTATTGTTGCTGAATCAAAGACTAAAATGTACAGCAAAAAATATAAAAAGAACTCTGGTGAAATACACCTTGCAGGCCTACTGAAAGTATTTGAAATTAAAGAACAAGAGAAAATTCCCTCCTTCTCCTGGATGTGAAATTGACAAAAATTCTCTTCTGGAGAGTCTTTTAGTCTGCAGTGCGCCAAGGCTAAGAGCAATAAACAAAATAATAATTTTTCATTGATGAAGATGCTGAAGAGAGCTGACCTGAGATCTTCTGTTTTCTCCCCTCAGATAGTCTGTTGGCAATAGCTAACTTTGCTCCCCTGAACGCACACAAATATGGCAATTATTATTCTGGGGGAGTTGTCACTATGGACAAAATTAGATGCAGAACTACACTGCTCAAGCTGCAGGATAGTGCATGTATGAGAAGTCAYCTCAGGGAGCAGTCTGTGTTATGTAGTCCTCTCAATTTTTTTATTTGGTCCTGCAGATTAGTCAAAAAACAATTGGAGAAGCAAGGGGATAGACCTTGTTCTGGAAGTCATTTTAGGCAGTAGGGAAAGGATTAAGGCAAGAAGGTGATCACAGCAGAAGACAGACTTAAAATAATGTGATRTATACTTCTCTTGCACTATGGTAGGAATATTCATGTAAATATCTTACTCTTCTGCCCTAAAAAAACCCTTGTTTTTGTATTTCATGCACCTAAGAATACCTGCACTGTGACAAAATCTTGCAGATGTGTCCAAAACAGACATGCTGAAGAGTATTGTTATACCTTTCCCTAATTACACAGTCACACAATGTATTCTCCTAAACTTGGATAAAGGATGTGTGGGAGCTGTGCTTCAACAACTGAGATATACACCTGGAAGGGGGGGGAGCATCACATGAAAACATCCCCAGCAAATTTAGTCTGTCCTATAGCCAGTAAAAAGAAAACTTAGATTAGCTAAGAATGTCTGCTTGACACAGCTCATGGTTTGCAACTTACAAAAGGCATTCAATTATTAAGAAAGCTGAAGAAAAACCTTGTAAATAAATTGTAAGCAACATAAAAACTACATCTAGAACAGATCAGATCAAAATCATTCAGAGTGTTTTGCYGACTAAAGCAAAACTAGAAATATTCAACATACTTTAGCCAGGAAATCTAAATTCAGAGAGGTACTTAGCTTCTTAAAAATGTTTTTTCCTCTTAAGTTTCAACTGAGGAAATAGTAAAAACCAACACAGAGCAAGCCACAACTGGCTCAGGCAGAGTGGTACATTCTGAGTGGGGCAAGAGGATACATCTGACTACTGAAGTCTCTTAGATGGCTAGCTACACAACTATTCTCCATTTCRAGTCTAGATAATTACTATGTTGCAGAAAATAACTCATGCAGCAGCAGATGGTGCAACATGGGAACACCTGTTCCTTTAAACACCAATACAAAAAAAAAAAAAAAGGGAGCTGTAGCCGTTTTCCTTTGAAAGGAAAGAATCCAGCTTTGGAGGGCAAGATACATAAATACCACCAGACTGTGGGCAGAACCCAAAATAATCCATTCAGCATTCTGTGCTAAACACGGAATGCAGTTGCCCTTGACCCAGCCCTGCTCACGTGTTGATAAACTGTCAGAAGCAACACATGCATTTACAGAACTAAAGCGCCCAAAAGACACTCCAGAACAAACTTTGTTTTTCAAGGACAGCTTGATGACAATGACTTAGATTTTTACAAACACAYGCAATTAACAGATATCTTGAAATGGTTAACTCTAGATTTGTTTTTGTTTCCCTTGCTTTTTTTTTTTTTATTAGGCAATTATGCCGTATAATCACAATTTCTAATTCACTGGTCAGGTTAAATGGTTGTTCACATGGAACTGCGGCAGCACTTAAGGGCTTTTGTGTCCTCCTTTACCAAATGGCAAAYCAAAAGTGTTTTAAGTCTGCCTGTATAGATAGATGCTCATTCACATCTACTCTGTGAGCASTTACTATTGTAGCTCTTACCTTGAAAACGTACACAAACGTAAATTTTTACTGTAAGAACTCAGCGAAATGGATTCGGGAGTTACAGGCACCATTTGCCCTCATCAGTCACTTTTATTCATGCGCACCAACTTAGCAGTTGGTGTATTCTAGAGAATAATTCACATGGGAAGCACACAACTTGTTCGCCTTCTTCCACACCTTCCGTGTCTAAAGCGAGGAGCGAAGCATCCCGCGCCATGCCCGCGGGGTCCCGCAGCCCCGGCACATCGCTCTAGTCTCGCTGCCGCCGGCCCCACCATGCGGGAGCGGGGTCTTCCCCTGCTCGCTGGGTGGGGTCTCTCGCTAGAGCTGAGCCCCGAGTCCGCCTCCCGCCCCAGCGCCCAGCCGGTCCCTCCAAATTCCCGGTCTTTCCCACGCCGGGACCCGCGGCCCCGCTGACCCACTCCCTTCCCCCCTCCCGGCCGCCTCACCGATGAGGACGCGTAGGTGCTTAAGTCGGGTGAGCGGATCCTTGCGGGTGTCCAGCACCTTCTGCGTGGATTTCCGCACGTCCCCGTGCGGCTTCTTGGAGAACATCCCGCCGGGCCCGGCGCCGCGCTCCAGTGGCGGACAGCGGCCTCCGGATCTGCCCGCTCCGGGGCCCCTACATAGCCAGAGGCGGCAGCGCCGCCTCCTCCTCCTCCCGACTCCGACTGCGATGCGGCGAGGGCGGAGGGGCGCGGCGCGGAGCCAACTCCCCGCGGGCCGGGGGCCGGGCTGGGCCTGCACTCCCCCCTTCTTCCTCCCTCGCTTTCCTCCCGCTGCTTCACGACAGCCGTCAGGTACGACCCCAGGCGTCCCCATGGCAACCGCGTCGCGACGTCAGGGCGGCGCTGCCCAGCGCACCTCCGAGCGCGGCGGGCGGGGCCGTGCCACCCGCGCTCCGCCGGAGCGCTCACCGAGGATGGCGGCCACCCGCCGCAGCGGGACATTTAGGGGCTGGCTGCAGGATCCTCTGCGCAGCTCCGCAACAGTAACTGGTGTAGGAAACTGTACTTCAGCTGTTTGTAAGTAAAATGTAAAGTTATCCCTTTACACAGCTACCCTGGCTGTACAGGGACACTGCAGCGTTAGGGGGGAATCCTGTGAGCAATATGGAAATAAAATCCAGGTGGRGACCGTATTCACCACGGCAGCGACTCCAAACCTTTACTCAATCCTCAGTTGTGCAACCAGCAAGGATGTGTCTCATAGTTCCTCTTTCCACACTGGTCCTCGAAGTGCTGCAACTCCTCACCTCGAGCAGCTGCCCAGAGTTGCTTCTCCCTGATTTCACTGCCTACGCCTTCAGCTGCAGTGCTGGCATCGAGACTGAACCATCAGGCATGACTGGGTCCAGCACGATGGTCTGAGGCATCCTTATTTCTTATGCATTCTATAGGATGAKCACGTCCATGCTGCACCTAGAGCAAAGCCAAAAATGAACTCAAGRGAACACATTTGTCCCAGTCCCATGCACAACCCCACCAGAACCACAACAACAGCCAGGGAAATATATGAGGTGCCATATCAACSCTTGCTGAGGACTGAACTACTAACACTGACAAAGTCCCAAGTTTCTCCTATAAGTTTGTTTGCACTCATGAGATAGAGAATTCTCGGACTTTGCAAAAGATACCTGCTGTAGTATAATTTAAGACTCCAGTATCTTTTTGCATTTTAAACAGTCACTGGTGCTCTGCTTTGCATTGAAGATATCCACTTCCATGAGCTAAGTCTGATTGCAGCAGCTAGAGTTTTTAATATTAGCAATATTTAACTATTTGAGGCTTGTTTTAAAATTCCAAGTGTTGCCAGCATTTACAGACCTGTTACATAAATAACACAACCCAAGTGTTTAAATTAATGATGGATAACAGCTAATATCAGAAGCACAAGGGCAGCGGAATTTACACAGCAGGGCATCAGTGAGGGCCTCAGTCTGTTGTCTGCCTGCCTAAGTGGTCTGATCCAAAGCATTTAATATTCCACCATCTCTGTAAATGAGATCTGAAGATTACCAATGTTAGGTAATAGCTAGTATCGTAATTACTTAGTTTACTATAACTATTTAGTATACTATATATATGTATAGTATATTTTAGTTCTCTAAGATCTAACAATGAGGCATTGATTTATGTGCTTTGTTTTCTCTATTTCATTAATTCTAAACACAATTCTGCATATTGAAAAAGTAAAGGATGTCTTTGGAGAATTTGCTTGTTTTCTGTTAATTTTTATATCTTTAACTCAAGACAAGCTTAAAAATAATAAAGAGATTAAGACATCACTAAAATATTAAATGACAGGAGGGAGTGGTGTTAACCAAGATAATAATGGCTTCTATAGAGAACCTCTGTGTGCAGGCCCCACCAGGCAGGAAGGGCATGTTCTGTGCACAGGAGAAGCCATGATCTTGCAAAGGCTTGACTTTGAAACATGTGACTTGGGTTGCTTTGAATATGCATGAAGGACAATGTTAGAAAATAGCAGGATTAGTTAGGGAGAGGTTAGGTTCTGCTGCATTCCAGACCACTATTATTGTACCAAATATTTTGCATTTCCACTTTAAAGGAAGAACTTCTGAAATATTTTTGTCCAGATGTGAGGGTACTGTCATAACTAAGTTTAACTGAACTTTTAGAAGAGTACTGTAGACAATTAAGTGCTGCAGAACTTTATTCCCTCCTTCTGTTAACTGTCATCAAGCCTGACTGAGTTCAGAAAGCATTTGGATAATATTCTCAGGCACAGGGTGTGACTCTTGGGGATGGTCCTGAGCAGGGTCAGGAGCTGGACTCCATGATCCTTGTGGGTCTCTTTCATCTCAGCAGGTTCTATGATTCTGTGATCTCTACAGGGCCCCATAGGATATTCAGAGTAGTGGGGGGCAATTGGGTCCCATTCATGCCATGAAAAAATTTCTCCCAGTTCATCTAGGATTTATGATCTCCTAAGATTTCAGCTGTTGCCAAGTACTTCAAAAAACATATGGGTATTTTTTGGTATATCCAAGAGAGCACAAACTCTTCAGTTGTAGCATGATTTGACAGTTCAGTATTTAAAATGGATAGATTATGTTTTGAATTCTTGCATACACTTACAGATACCTAAGTTTCTGGAATTCTTGCCTTTCTAATATTTACACCACATAYGGGTATGGGATTAAAAACAAGTTAAAATTACTCAGATTTTCACTAAGTATATCCCATCTTTCAGGTAGCTAACCTGAACCTGACCCCTTTGAGATGCATGCACTGAAGAGCTATTTGCCCAGGAGTCCTTCAAGAGAAAAGAAGAAATTTAAAATAATTTTTTAAAAATGTTCAACTGCTTCTGATCTTTTAATATTTAGTTTCACAGTGTCCTTCTTAAGAGGGTTGTCTTGCTTTTGAAAAAGAAGGCTCTCTAAATTGTGCTGTGGCCATTGGAATGGTGTGCTATTGCCTGTGCAGCAGTATTCCTATTCATCCTGAGTAACAAATTTTTAGTTGCCTTAATTGGCAACTCTATACTTTATGAAAAAGCCCCCAAAACTAGATATTTAAAATTGAATAGTCAAAACTAGAGTTCTGTACAATTTGATACTCTAGTGTAACATATTCATACTGGAGATGTTTGCTACTTTCACTTAAGCATTCAAATATCAGAATCCTCTAATATGTTTCCAGTATAAGAATAATGAAACAGCTAGCTGTCCCTTCAACAAAATCTGTTCCAGTTGAAAATWACCCCATGATTTCCCATTGCATTTGCATAACTCTGTGTCTCACAGATGAAATGTAGAATCTATATTTTCTGTGTTTAAGGGAAGGAGCTTTTCATGAGCTTATAGTCTGCTTTTGTTCTGTTAAGTAGTGTATCAGCATTAATACCTCTGTATGAGCATCTGATACAAAGTCAGAACACTGCAGTCTTTCCAGCTACCAAAGATCCCAAGTTTGAATAAACTTTTCCAAGAACTACAGTACTCATGAAGCCAGATTTCYTCCAAATTTGTATTCTAGCCACTGAAAGCTGGCCATGAGTCACCTCCCTTCACCACCATAAACTTTCCTTTGTTCAGACCTCCCCTACGTATTTTGAGACAGGCAAGAGGCTGGACTGCAYGTGCAGGTTGGCAAGCTGTTGTCCCTTGGACAAAAGCTAAGTGAAACACATATCCCTCCCTGGGACACTACTAGTTTTTATTTGTTCCAGATACTGTTTCACAAAACACACTGAAACTTGGTATCTTTAATACCCGTGCTCTCATACAGAAAAAAAAGGACTTCAAAACTAGCAGAAGAGTGCAAAAAAAAAAAAAAAAAAAAAGAAATCAACAAAAACCAAATCAGCCAAACAAACCACCAAAACCAGCTAAGATTTGTTTCCTTAGCACACTAGGACTGTGTCAGCCCTGCTCAAAGAGCAGAAGGGATATAGGGCCTATCATGACAAGAAACTTTCATATTTGTGGAAGTTACTTAAAACTGATGTAATAATTTCAAGTTCCTGGCCAGCAATACCAGCAAGTTTAGCCTTTGCTATGTGAAGTCACCTTCAACTCACAATGTTTGAGTTCTAAAGTAAGCACTAGCACCCATATCTGATATGAAAGAGCTTTTGAAATGTGAATATTCTGATACAGTAAAAGTTGCAACAACTTCTCTTTTAACCAAAAGTACTCAAAAACTTTCTCARCAACTGAGATGTGTTATTTTTCTTTCCCAACTTATGAAATAGTTTTGCAATATTGACAAATGCACAAAAGAAACTGTGCATGTCTGCCTAGAGGAGAGAGAATTTTGTACAGATTAATTCCTTTCTATTAAAGCAAATATTTTGCTCCTGATTTCTCCTGTTATGTCACCTGCAGGAGTAAACCAGATATTTTACAAAGAGGTTATATTTATTTGTGGTTATTTTGATTAGTAGTTTTAAGCTTACTTTACACATTTTGCAGCATATATCAGARAGAGTATTTTTGCCTAGAAAAAAAACATGATCTGAGGAAAAAGCATCATGCAATAACCTTCAAATACAGCTCATAGCTTGCATTCCATGACTGCTACTTTTAAATTGCTGCTGATCTTAACCTACATGGAAAATAGTCTTTTCAAAGTTCTTGTGACCTACCTCCTAATATTGCACTTTCAAATTGAGGGTGAAGAATTAGATTTGATAAATTATGCAGTGTATCAGTTTTTAGTTATAGAAATTGTCACAGTTTGGCTTGCTAGAGTCCAAACACCCCAGGGCTACCACTTCTTTCTGGCTAATATGTTGCTGTCCTGTCCTCTTTGGAGGACCTCACCAACAATCAGACCTGTGATGACCAGTCCAAGACATACTACATCTTTGAAATGGGGGAGATTCCTAAAGAGAAGGTATTTCAAACTAATTAAGATGTAGTGCACTATATTGCACACATGGTAAAAGCTCTTTCATTCCTGCTTCTCCTTTGAGGTTTCATCTATACCTGTAGACCAATGACTCACATTATATATATTTTTGTTTTCTCCCTTTACAATCTTGTCAGAAATACTCAGTTACTATGCAGTTACTCACTACAACAAAAGCTGGCAATTAGGTTTATAATCTGAAAGTGAGTAACTGCGTTTCAGATTCTAGAGTGATACATGTTTCAGCTCACTGCCTCCATTCCAAAAATCGGGTGTAAAATTACAGCTTTACTTCCTAGCTTTTTCTAAAGATGTCCCAAACTGGGAAAGGAGATATCACTATCTGTACTAGCCAGCATTTTATTTATAATGGTTGTTATTGCATCCAAATTTTTTGAATACCAGTTTCCAAAAGAATTTCCAGTTTTGAATTTTTACATCGTTG